TCAATTTTATTTGTACTAGCGCTTTTTCCGCCTTACTAATTTTCGTAAATTTTACAGCGGTTATTTTTCCATGCTTCAAAATAAATTTTATTAAAATCAAAATTTTGCTAATCTAAATTACGTAATTAATTTTATAATATAGTAATCATCTCATTTAAATTGAATAACTTGTAGGATGTTAATGTAAAATATCGTTATTAACGTAATAATTTTTTTTAATTTATAATAAAATAATAGTGGAATCTTAAAAAAAAATAATTTTCAAGCCCAGCCCGGATTTTTTTTAAAATATATTTTATTTAATTTTCGATTTTACAGCTTTAGTTTTAAAATATGAGGCCCAGGCCCGGATAAATTTTAAAAAAAATTAAAATATGGCCGGGCCGGGCTTAAGGCCGCGTCTGCTGATCTCTGACCAAAATCAAATAGTTTTATAATAAATTAAACACCCGATAATTCAAATAATTATTAAATTTGCTATTACAGTGTTGTGATGATTTATTGAAACATGTTTGTATGTACTAGTTCGGGATAGATATAATGATAATATTCCCGAGAGAGTAAAAATTTGTGAAAGAAAAAAAGAAAGAAAGAAAGAAAAAAAAATAATGAGTAAGGCGTTTTTTAAAAATCTACTCAAAATGAGCCGTTTTAACAAGACTATATATAGTTTTAAATGGTCAGGAATTTGGAATCAAAATCTTCTTTTTTTAAAAAATCAGAGTATGAGTGACCGGGGCGTTTCCAGCGATCCCATTTTTTTGAATTTCAACCTTAAGAATTTCCAAAAAAAATGTTTTGATTTATATTTATATAGAGAATTTTTAATTTCAAATATGGAAAAATATTTGCAAAGATATTAAATTATACAAATTTAAATTAAATTGTTTTTTAAATAAAATTATTTATTTTATAATAAATTTTAATCAATAGAAATAGAGATAGACATGAAATTTTGCCCAATTATAGAGCAGGAAATCCAACAGTTTTAAGATTTTTTGGGGCAAATCTAACACTTTTCCGAAATAAATAGTAATTGTTCTATTTTTTAGCCCCATTTTTGGACAGATTTTAAGTCAAACCTAGTTTCATAGCTTTTTAAAAGAAAACCCATCAAATTTATACCTAGAATTTCTTTCGGAAATATACAGCTTAACTGGTGTTGTTAAACGGTTCGTTTTGAGACGATTTCTAAAAACGGCTAACCCAATATTTTAGCCAGATTAATATTGCCTAAGCTTCGCGAAATTTCGCTAATAGATTGTCCAAACCTTTGTTCCTTCTGCAAACGAAATCTACAGACTTGCTCAATATTATTCTGGATGAAATGTTGAGTTATCCGCTTTTAAAAAATCTGCTTAAAACGAGCCGTTTAACGACACTAAGCTTAACCTTTCAAATAAAACGTATAAGAGGACGAGATGGTTGATTAGCTAAGAAGAAAATAATAATTTTCACTCGAGATAATCCCAATTAATTATCTTTATATATCTATATTCGGGCTACACATTCGCGTTTAAATTTATTCGATTAAAAAAGACATTCTTTAAATCGTTTAAGTCGCGATAGCAAAAAAAAAGCTTGGTCACTTATCCCCGGTCTTCCCTACCCTTACCAAAAACTACTGACCAGGCGCGTACGCAGGAATTTAGTCTGGAGGGGGGGGGATAATAAAATTTTTTAAGAAATATTATTGTTTTTTAAAAATATCAAGCTTACATTTATTAGGACTAATAACTATTTCTAATACACAATTTTAAATTAATGTGGTGAATTATAAAAAAATTATATGTAAAGAATCACTTAAATGACCCAAAATAGAAATTTGAATTTTTTTTAGCTATAAAGTTTATATATATAAAGTATAAAAAAATTTAAATGTTAGAAATATAAATTAATATACAAAAAGCTTAGAGAATAATTGTATTTTGTGTGTTATATATTTACAATGTAAAATCCAATCTTCGTTGGGATTGAGCTAATTTTTCATTTATCTCATCCTTGCTTGTTGTCAAATGCCTATGAATATTCAAAAGATCTAAACCTTTCAATCCACTTTCAGATGTTGTACTTCTTGGTATGTTTTTCAGAGACCTGTAGGCCCCTGGGCCGGACAGTATTTTAATTTTTTTTAAAAAAACACCCGGGCCGGATCTGAATTTTTTTAAAAAAACACCCAAGCCGGGCCTTAATTATTTTTTAAAAAACACCCAGGCAGGACTGTATTTTTTAAAACAGCCTTATATTTGAAATCGTTATTAATAGTAATAAAAATCAAAAATAAATATAATTTATTTTTAAAAAATCCGGGCCGGGCCTGAAAATTGAGCTTAGCCGTAAAAATCTTTAAAAAAATTCGGGTCGTGCCCTGCAAATGGTACTTCTGCAGGGCTCTGTTATTCTTCTTAAAAAAGAGAATGTTCTCTCATTAGTTTACTATTGGGAAGAGTTGCTAATATATATAAACCCTTTTAATACATTGGGAATATAATCTAAAATGTGTTTGAAATAATGCAGAGCATCCATAGCCTTTTTTGGGACTGTATCAACAATAGTTAATCTTATAAACATAGTTATTCAGCTCATAAGGCATCATAAGATACTTTAACATCTTCATGATAAAAATCCAACAAATATTTTTTTTTCAATCACCATCTGAAAAAGGTTTAGGAAGGCTTTTATGAAAATAATATTTGCAGATTGGTAAGTGCTGCATAATGAATTAAAAACCATTCATTTATTTGGTTTATAAATGTATTTGTATCTAAGATATACTCTTCTACTGATCCTATATTAATGTTTTAACTATGAGCTTGCCTTGCTGCAAGTCGAATGAGACAAATATTAAACACGTATAGCTCTCCTTTTGACTTAACAATAACATATAAAATATGAAATTCTTCATAAAAATTAGCCCTAATTTCCTTGAATTCTAATAAAATTCTCTCCGCTATTCTCATCTTTTTAATCAAGTCATCATGTTTTTGAAAAGTAATACATAAAATAGTTGTACATTCTAATGAGAAAAAAATTTGAAATAAGCATTGAATCCAATAATTTTTTTGCTTCTAAGGAAAAATTTTATTTAGGCCATTGTGATATGTCAGTAATAGCAAATAATCGGCTCTTCTAACTCTATAAAAGCTGTTACTGCTTGATGGCGGAGACTTTATCTCGTAGGACAAGGTTGCAATTTCTTTCTCCCTGATGGACAATTTCAGAATAATTATTATTTGACTAGAAATTTAAAAATGGTAGATAAATATTACGCCACTAAAAATTTGAAAATAATAAGATAATATTACGACGGAAAACTTGAAATCGAAATTAATTGATACACTAATGTGATAATAAATGTAATTAAATATATATTTAATATGAGATAGGAATAAATATTAACAAATATAAATTAATATAATACTGTGTAAATTTAATTCAAAACATTTCCATACTTATTAATTTATTTGAAAATAAAATTATTTGACTTGTAAAAAGTTGTTAAAATAACATATTTATATATTCTTATCAATTTTTACAAGTTAAAATTTTTATTTACAAACGAATTAAAAAATATGATGTTTTAAATTAAATCTGCACAACACTCTAAACAAAAATATTTTTGAAAAATATATCCGGCATCTGCATTTTTTGGCTTTTCGGGGGGGGGGGGGGATTTGTCCCCCTGTCTCCGCCCCCCGCTGCGTACGCCAATGCTACTGACACATCGTGATTTGCCTTTACGTCATACTTATTTAATAATTTGCATCTCTGATAATATGTTTTTAATTAATCTCTTTACCTTTCACCTTCAATTTTTTTTTATTATTATTTGAAAAGAAAGAAAGAAAAAGAAAGAAAGAAAGAAAGAAAGAAAAAGAAAGAAAGAAAGAAAGAAAGAAAGAAAGAAAGAAAGAAAGAAATAAAGAAAGAAATAAAGAAAAAAAGAAAGAAAGAAAGAAAGAAAGAAAGAAAGAAAGAAAGAAAGAAAGAAAGAAAGAAAGAAAGAAAGAAAGAAAGAAAGAAAGAAAGAAAGAAAGAAAGAAAGAAAGAAAGAAAGAAAGAAAGAAAGAAAGAAAGAAAGAAAGAAAGAAAGAAAGAAAGAAAGAAAGAAAGAAAGAAAGAAAGAAAGAAAGAAAGAAAGAAAGAAAGAAAGAAAGAAAGGAAGGAAGAAAGAAAGAATAAGTGTTGTTTAAAAGTCCGATTCTGGTCTATTTAAAAAAGAATAAATGGCCCGATTAAGATAACCAAAATAACATTATGTAATCCTAAAAATTTTTGCTCGTATAAGCTGGCAAAAAAAAACGCCTGGACAATCTATTCACCAAATCTCGACGCTTATTAGTGTAATATTATTTTTAGCTAAAATATTAATCTGGTCTCTTTGACACTTACTATATGTGCAGGGATCTTGATACCAGCAGAAATCTATTTCCCGAAGTCTATTTACCTCGTATTTAAAGGACCCTACTTATAGGGCAAATCTTAATATACAATAATCATTTATTATATATTCTTAAAGTCTCTTCTCTAAGTAGGGCGTGAAAATAAATTATTATTATTATTTAAAATATTTTTCTTTAGTTTTTCTTTGTAATAATAACGATTTATCTCCAAAATTCTCACGTTTCGGATTTGGGATGAAACTTAAAATTCTCTTCTCTTTTTTTTTGCCGGAAATGTGTATATTTTTTAGCGGGTATTTTTAAATTTTTTTAAAAAAAACCTGCGTTCGTTAAATGATTTTCAAAAAATTCAAATTCTCGCTCGAGAATTAAGGATAGGTGGTTATATTTTATCAAAATTATTTACGGTATCCCGTCATTACAGAGAAAACAATTACATAGAAACTTTTACAGAGAAAACAATGATTATAGATAATATCGTTTATAAGAGAATATAATTTATAGAGAATGTCATTTATAGAGAATGTCATTTATGTCATTTGAATGTCATTTATAGAGAATGTCATTTATGTCATTTGAAATTTATAGAGAATGGCATTTATAGAGAATGTATTTTATTTACGATATATATATATTGTTATTTTAATAATGGATTAACATAAGTATTCTTGTTAGTTTGTTAAGTATTATCATGAATTATATAAATCAAAATTTGATTTTTTTAAATAAAATAATCCCTTTTTCAATATCCGCGTACGCGGTTGATGATGACCATTATTCACGCGCGTTGTTTCTTCGGGCGAATCTTTTATAAAAAAAATGATTTTTAAAAAAAATTAACCCCCCTTGATTTTTTTAAAAATAAATGCGTAGTGTTGTTAAAAACGCCAATCAAAAAAAATTACGCAATGCCTTGAGATTTTGCTAATAGATGTCCAAAACCGTTCCGCCCATCTATGAGCAAAATCTCTCTAGGGCTTGCGTAATATTTTCTTGGCTGAAAACATTGGGTCGACCCGTTTGTCGTTTAACGCCGCACTAGGGTTAGAACCCCGCGAAATCCCAAAATTTGATAATATAGCTTATGAGTAACTTGCAGCCCAAACCTACCCCGGTTTAAAAAGTCCTATCAATTTACTGATTCGAAATAACCCCATAAGATTAGGAACACGTTTTTTATCGAGTTCGGGTTTTTAATAAACATATTCGGTTCCGGTTGAAGGGAACCGGGTTTCGAATAGGTCCGATATGGAGTTTCCTAAATATAAAGTGATAAGTTATCTTAATGATAAAATTAAATTGCGCTATTTAGTGAATTATTTAATTTTAGAAATCGGTTAACTATATTAAGTTATTTTCTAATACGATTAATCTACTATTTAATTAATAAAAAAGATGAAAAAGGCAAAACGCGATTCACATTATAATGTTACATTTTGAATTAATTTTTTTAATGTAAAGAAAGAAAGAAAGAAAGAAAGAAAGAAAGAAAGAAAGAAAGAAAGAAAGAAAGAAAGAAAGAAAGAAAGAAGGATGGAAAGAAATAATGTTAAATAAATTACATGCAATTTATTTCTATGTACCCACCTAAACATAAAAATAGGTATCATAGAACAGGCATATTTTATATCCCCCAGGAGCCAATTGCCGTATTACCTCACTTAACCCCCTATCTCTAGTGTGGTTAAATCGATTTTTCAAAATTAGCTAACTCAATATTTTATCCAGAAATATATAATGCCATCCTGAAGATTTTGCTCATTAGATGAAACCAAGATTTTGGCATCTATTAACAAGATCTCGAAGCTTCTTAGACAATATTTTCATGGCGGAAATATTGATTTAGCCTTTTAACAACACTACCTAAATGTTAAAGGTTATCACCAAATTTTGGGACAATTCTTGTGTAAATATAATTCAAAAATTTAATTTTCTTCGGGAACTTCACTATAGTGTAGTACAACTTTAATAAAAAAATGAACAAAATTGATACGATGACTTTGGGAGGCATTCCTTCTTTTAAACATAGACCTAGTAGATGGAATAATTTTAGGTCTCGAAGGGTCTAACCTAACCCCGTATATTATAGACTCTCCCCCTAAACTTCCTATGTATACTAAACTCGTAGCATCGAAATATCTAAACTTCGAATTGATAATAAGTGGATTCAAGAATAATAGATTCCCCCCTGCTGAGAATCGAACCACGAACCATTCTCTTAGCCTTGATGGCTCTCAACTCTCATTTTAAAAAAAACTGTTATTTTTTAAAAAATATTAGTAATAGCCAATCCCCACGATCTCTGTCACCATAGAATTTGACTTGGCGCTTAGAGACTCCGCTGGGTTACTTTGGTGTTATAAATTACCAGATTTTGCAGAGAATTTCTAAAAAAAAATATATAAAACAAACACTTACCTAACAACTCCCGAAAAATAATTAGACCCGTCAATCAAGAATTTATTTAACACGATAATTACCTAACTTTTACCATCTTAAAACCTAAAAAATTGAACTTAAGCTTTCTAAAGTTGAGGACTCAACTCGAAGATTTATTGGAAATATTTTTGGATAAAAATATGGGTATGCTGCTTTATAGTGGACCATAAAGTTAGGTAGTTAAACAACACTAGGTATTTCTAAATGACGAAGATCCTCATTAAATTGAAGAGGGGTAGTAAGGGATTGGTAGGGGAGTCGGTAACAAACCAAAGGGGAAACGGGTTACTGGTTTAGATGAGGAGTGTTTTAAAAACGGCTAACTCAATATTTCATCCCAAAAAAAAACTTACACAAGACTGAAGACTTTGCTCATAGGAACGAAGGTCTAGGCATACTTTAACCAAATCTCGAGGCTTATATTTTTCTGGCTAAAATATTGAGTTAGTACATTTCAAAAAATATTGGTAGTTACAGTTACACTAGTTACAATTTTTAAAATATAACCACTTACAGTTACATTTGCAACTAGCGCCTCAAAACGAGCCGTTTTAAAAAGCACTATTGATAAGCACGTATAAAGGTTAAGCATATTACGATTTGTAGCTCATTTTAAAACATGCGTGGCATATCATTCGAATTTTAAAGGCGAATTTTCATGCGTGTTATTAAATCTTATTTTGGTAAATTTTCCTGAATATATATAACCAATTGCAAATGAATTTTAAATTTGATTATAATTTAGCGTAGTAAAGTATCTTTGGTGACTATCGCTAACTCAAACTTAAAATTTTTGTGTGAATTGAATTTAGAAAATTGGAATATGGAAGTGGGATTGCATTTGCACAACGAAGATTTCTCCCATAGATGGCAGAAGTTATATCGAGGCGTATTATACGTAATATTATTTTGGCCAACACTTAATTTAGCGCGTTTTTTTAAAAAATCCGCTAATCGAACCGTTTAGCAACACTAACCGCGAGACTCGATGTATATTTCGGTTTAGCGAAATCAGCGAGATCGTTAATCAAGATAGAATTGTAACGGTATTAAATTAACGGATCGAAAGAACTCCAAACACCTTTTCTTGAATCTAATTATTTCCCTACCATAGGCGTAGCTACGATTTTTTCTAGGAGGTTTCGCCACCCCCTCACCCGCTTATTTCGACCTTTAGCCCGGGTAACACTCGTATTTTAAATTAGTATATATTTATTTTCAGGGTTGTTAAAGGATCTAGATACAAGTATCTAAATATAAAAATGTGGTATCTGTATCTTGATAGATTTTCGAATAAAATATCGGTATCTAGATATTATTTTAGACGATGTATCTGTATCTAGATCCATTTAAAAAGTATCTTTTAACAACTCTGTTTATTTTACATTTAATATAATCCGGTTTTTGGACTCTTAATCATTCCAATTAATATGAATAAACCAACTTTTTTGTGGTACGGTTTCGTGAAAAAGAAATTCGGGGTATAAATACGAAATTCATTTCGGCAAAATAATATAAAAAATTAGACTAAATCTTAAAAAACAATTCATCTATTACGATAAAATATTTTCGATAAAGTTTTTATCCTTTTCGTGTCGTGGAAACCCTTTCTAAAGTAATCATAAAAAAACACAATAAAGATCATTTCAAATAAGAGTCGTTATAAACTAGTCCAAAAAAAATGGAAGCGCGGTGAAAGAAACAGCTGTTTAAAATCGAATGAAGCGTAGAAAAACGAAACGCATTTCATCTAAAACAAAATTTCTCCACTCCTCTATCCCTCTGCTAACAGCTATGTTATATGGCATACATACCTCATCTCTTATTATTTATGCCTTTTAATACTAAACAATATCATCTAAATATTAAAATAATATATTCGACATCGATTTTCGGTAATCGGGATATAACAAACCTATTTTGTGGCGAAAAAGCAAAATATAAAGATTATAATCAAAAAAAAGACGCGTTCGTAATAATGCATTTCCAAGGGGTCGTTGAATGCTAATCAGCTGGAGCCGCCATTTTGGTAACCCATACAAGCTCATATTCTCATGTTACAAAACTACTATTAAATTGATAAACTCGCTTCCATATTATCTCGATGATCAGGCAAATTCTTTGATAAAGTTTGATGTCAGAACATAGGAAATAAATTTGGCCTCTCGTTTTTAAAATTTTTTGATATAATGATTACGGGTAATCAAAATGGCGTGCCCATACGGATAATCAAAATGGCGTCCCCAGCTGTTTTCCTGCATCGTCAATGCTTTTATAGAAATTAAAAGAAGTCCTAATAGTTGTACCAATAGTATATATATCAAGTTTAAACTATTACCACCCACCAGGATTTAATATCTAATAACTGAAAATGATGAAACATATGTTGCCGAGTTCAATACAAAATAGCATTGAGCTGAAGTTCTAGGTATTGGCCAAAGAACGAATAAAAAAATAAAAGACAAATTTGTAAATTATAGCTAAAAAGCATAGCATGCAAGTTTATATTATTTTTTTTATACATGACAATTTTATATCAGATCCAATAAAAATATATATTTAAAATTTTTTTTATAATATATTTATATATAATAATGTAAATAATTCATGCATCATGCAATTATCTAGAATTGAGCCTTTTATACTTTTATACTTAAGAGTGATAAAAAGTGACTTAGAATAAAAGTTTACGAGTATTTTATATATAATTGAAATAGAAGAAGAAAAAAAATAAAATTTAAAAAAATGATCTAAAAATGCAAAATTAAAATTTAGATAATTAAAATAAAACTGATAAAAAGATACAAAATCGTTAAAATCGCAAATTCTTTGTGTAAATTAGAGAGGCCACCGGAAGTGGTGAATACAACTGAAGAGTCAGTAGAGGTCGGTAAATGCGTATCTTTTACCTCTCCGCAATTGATATTCTTCAACATATTGATGTAGTCGGTTCCTAGGTATTCGCGAAAATTTTGCATGTTTGGCGGCACTCGTTCCAGCTTCGTGGTATCGTCCTTGAATAGGGTGTCCTTTTCGTTAGGAGAGGATCTAAATAGGCTAAATGTGTTGGGGTCCGATTTAGTAATTTCTCCGAAACTTTCCTGAGCTCTAAGGAACAAGTTTATTATATCTCTCTGTTTGGTCCAATTTTTGGGGGATGCAACCATGACTTCAGCGGGAACTTTGGTTATGAAGCAACTATTTAGAATCATATGGAAAATTTATATTTGTATATAATTAAATAAATATGTCATTACCTCTTCCATTGACTGACACCTTTGCGCGTACCGTCTCTACATAACAATTCGTAATCGTGAGATTGCAGGCCTCTAGCCCAGGGCTGTTGATTATTGCCATCTGTGTTATCTTGAACAGTTGTGTGTTTCATAAAAGCGACAGTGCCCGGACCACTCTCCACCAAGCAACGGAAAGAACCGGAATAATCGTAAAAAGGTTCAGCGGAGTTCCTAAGTTCAATTCAATAATATTAGATTTAAGAAAAATTGAATTTAAAAGAAGTAGATTTTTTGGGGGGTGTTAGTGTAACTAATGATATATTTCATATACAACGATACCTGGCACAAAAGTCCTTTCCCTTTCCTTTGCACAAAGCGCAGAGATTGACGGGATTCGGTTTTTTGGGATTTCGGAAGAATCTTGGATCGTTAGCTCCAGGAGCGCAGCTTTGCTTGAAGAATTGGCTCACTACTTCCGGAATATTGCAGCCAGAGTCTTTGAGCGCTTTCGACGATATTTGCTTCGAATCTATCAAGAAGCTGACGGGCACGTTCCATCCAGCCGTTTTGTCGATGCCGGTATGACAAGATTTTAAGCCTTTTTATTTTGGGCGGGAAAATTTTTTTAAAATTTTAATTTTTGTTATAAAATTTTTACCCTTCAGATTTTTTAAATCTATTTTGCTATCGCTCTTTTTGACCACGGCCACGGCGTAGTAAGAAGCATCATTCGCGCCATAATTTTCGTGAAGAATTGGTACCAACCCGTATTTCCTATTTATATGATATAATTACAAGTTACTTCTTTTCGAAATAAGTAAAAAAAAAAAACGTAAAAAATTCAAATCATTTAACCGTTTAGAAACTCAAAACAACTCTATTCGCTATCCGAACTCGTTGTTTACGAATAACATAAATATCCGAACTCGAATAAATCGGAGGTATGCGCGGGAACCGGGCTGACCCGCGCCCTATTAAATATATAATTAAAAAGTGAACCCATGGGTTGGACCGAGTTTAAAATTCAAATTTCCTTTTCATAGGTTAGGGCTCGGGTTTTGGATCGCGGGGTAGGTTTAGTCTTATATTTAAAAAAAAAAACTCTGGACTGAGCTAGCCTGGGGGGGCTAAAACTATTTATCTTTTAGACTACGGGCGGACCGGACTGCGGGCGAACCGGTTGTAATCAATGTTTTGGTCCATTTAGATTAACCCCTCTGAACCTAATTTACAATCGATACACAATTCCTCTCATATAATTAATTGGTAAACTATCAATTTTCTTGGAATGCCTTGGGTGTCCAGGGCCTATCACAAATACCCGAACTAAGTTTGGCCAATCATATTCTTTTTTTTAAAAAAAAAGGTTAAAATTTTTTATCGATAGCAGTTGGAATCTTATAATATTCATTTACCGCTCAAATATTTTCAATTTCGAAACAAAATTTACGGAAAAACCCAACTGTCAAAAATATCGAAATTTAAATATAAACCGCGAAAAAGAAACAGGGCCGTAACAATTATATAAAATAGAATCTGAGCAATACCAAAAGATTTATTAGAAAGAATATTTTATTTATAGGCAAAAATGTTAAGGAATTTCGTTTTTCCGGAAGCAGTAATCCACAAGGCATGGGTAAAATGTCCGGCTACATCCGTTCCCTAATCTTAGTAACAATATAAATAATTAGTTTAATAATTACGATCCAGCTAAATAGGCGTCTCCGCCATCTAAGATAGCAATGTCGGCGTCTCCGCTGGATATCTTCTTCATGCATTCTTCGTGCGTTTCAGCTTTCAGAGGTATGATTTTGGGGAACCAATTTTTGATCGAAAATTCTCGAGACATTTGAACGACTTTGTTCAATTCGTTCTTAGACGTAACGCAGAATATGGCCATTTCCGTGTTACATTTGTTATTCCCCTCAACCACGCCGGCGTAAGAACCTTTACAAAATAAAAGTTTTTGAGCGAATAATATAATTTTTACGAAATTTTAAAGACGGACGTTTAATCATCTAACCTAAATACGATTTCGAAGTATTGCGACTTCCGACGTCAATCAATTCGACTGTCGAATCCTTGAATAGCAAATCTTTATGACCATATATCTTGTTGCTTTGTCCGAACATGCGAAACTTATCTGTTTGAGAGCCGTTGACACCGAAAACCTTTTTAAAAATGGTATTATTAAAGTCATATGGGGGACTTATTATTTTTATTATACCTTTTGACCTTCCAGCAACAAATTTTTGAAGGCCTGTTTAGATTTATCGCTTTGGCCCGATAACGTCATAACCGCGTGTGCCGGCGAACTTCCCCAGAAGCAATCCTGGCTGTCGAAGATGCTAGCTTTGCGGCCGTCGGGACACAACAGCTTAAAATCGGTATCCTTGAAACCATCTCTCAGCTGACCTTTAGTCATTTCCAAGGGTGTGGCATCCTTGACGAACGCTATATCTCCCTGGCCATCTCTCAAACATTTGAACGCGCCATCGTATCCGGCATACTCGTCGTCCGATGTGGAGCAGTGTTTTTCACCAGTTCCGGCGCATAATTCGCACATGTTGTCAACATTGTTGCCTAAATTTTTTTTAAAAAAAAATTGTATATTATTAATATTAGAGATCCGCAAAATATTAGCCCGACCTGAATCCGGCCCGGTTAAAATAATTCGGGTTCGGGCCGGGTCGGGTCGGCAATTAAAAAAAATTTCGGGCCGGGCTTGAAAAATTAGGCCCTACGCAGATCTCTGATTAATATATTCTCAAATAGGAAAAAAATCAACTGGTTTACCCCCAATTTTATATGTCTCGTTATTGGCACCGGGAGCGCAGCTGGCTTTAAAAAATTTGGAGGCTGATAATACGGGATTATTACAATCGACGACTTCCATGACTCCACTCCTTAGTAATGTACCTAACAAAAAAAAATCATGATTTTTTTAAATTTCGATTAAATTACGGATTGAAAATTTGAATGATTTTAATCACTAGTATACCCCCCCCCCTTGATATCATCATCTTTCATTAAGGAGTGTACTCCAAGGCATGGCTCAAAAAATAAAACTCGAGGGGATGGAGGAAAATATGGTTTTTTTCTAGATATCATTTTGGGTTAAAGTATCGATATCGAAATACAAATTAATAGGTTAAATATTAGTGTTATCAAAGTAACTAGTTACTTTTTTTGAGAAAAATTAGTAGCTCTAACAATATGTTTAAATAGTATGTGTATATATATATCCTATGTATTAAGATTATACGATTGATTTTCTCAAATTCAAAAATATACTGTTTATTAAATATAATGTCTTACTCAAAAAACGCTCCCGTAGAACGTTTGTTAAAAAAAGCTTACGCAGGCGTCAAATTTTTTACGCAAAAAATATATTTTATAGTGCCTTTTATTATATATTTTTTGCTGATGCAAAATTTCAGTTTGTAGCCTTTACTTCACGCGGTATATATAATTCCATGAAGACTCTCTGCTAGACGCCGATGGCAAAAAACAGAGATATTTGGACGTCATATAACTTAAGATGCTGGCTATAACAGATAGGGATGAATTGCTGGGTTTGGGTTAGGATTGGGAGAAAACATCATATGCATAAAGTTTTTTTGTCCGCCTAACTGGTAAGCGTGACGCGCGTCTGGTTTTTGCGGTCTAGAGGAGGAAATTGGGGAGTTGAAGGCGGTTCGCGAACCCTGGGGAAGGTGGGGGACTTTAATAAAACTCTCATTTCTTATGGTGTAAGGCGGCGACTTGATAATTTTTTTGAACACGTGAGGCTATGGTGACGAAAAGCATCGACTATACCCTCAATCCTGCATAGGTTTTACGCTACCATTTTATAGGCGATCGAAGTTAGTCCGCTACCTCGATCTCGTGCTGAGCAAAAGACCAAAGTGACTACTAAGGAGTGTGCATCAAGCAATACCTATCCAATTTTGTGAGTTTGAGTGGGATCTAGTTTTAATAGTGAAAGAACTGACTCATCAGCAGTTGATGGTCAAAGTTTCTTCGCGAAAAAGGTCGCACAAAACTATTTTTTCAGGGTAAAAATAAGTGCATTTAAAAAAGGGGCATCATTTGACTAATATTTTCTGGCATTGCTCAAGGAAGGCTATCGGGCAACTTGATTTTGCTTAGAAAATTTACGAAAAAGATAAGTTCTATATAAAAGGAAGACTGAGTGAACTTTATGGAAATCTCGTACAAATTCGTCCCCCATCCAGAGGGAAGGGAGCCATCTACGAATTCCTGTCAGACAGATCTAGATCAATAAAATTCTTGAATAAAAAAAAAGGATCCTTTCATGAAATAAAATATGTGGTGGGTAGGTAGATAGATAAAATGTTTCTTAAAATGAGGTCTTAAGATCAGGGGATTTTGAATGATGGAAGGATGTGGGTTGGGAAGCAGATTTATTATTCATAACGGTATAAACGAATGATCCAAGCGGAGTGACATTATGTTTAAAGTGATGGATTATTCGGATATTCGTGAATGGATCAACTAATGTACAATCCAATTACAAAATGATTATGATCCAGATTGAAAAAGATCTCTTTAAAGGGGATGAGGGGTGTGGGGGGGGGGGTTCAGGTTTTTCGTACCCGAAGTTTAAAAAGGGGCGAACTGAGTTAACGGTCAAACTTGTTGAATTTACTCTTGGAAACTCAATAGAGAGTCGTGAGACCAATGGAGGCGTAGTAATTCTGGCGGAAAAATATGGCGACAACCGGAATAGAGGCGCGTTTATTTAAGGCCCAATTCGCATATTATTTTTTGTAATAGATTCGAATTTAACCTTAAAGGCAATCGATAATATGATTATTCGTATTAAAATGTATATTATTAGTTGTGTATGATGATTAATCGATGTATTTAGATTGTATTTGTAAAAAGATTTACACATATATAGACTGAAGTACAAAAATATGACGATACAAAGTTAAAATATAATAAAAAATAGTTCTGTCGCTAACTTTGGATTTTTGGAGAGAAAAAAGAAAGAAATACTAACTAAGAGAACGTTAAAGTCTTCTAGTTTTTGATTCTACGAATAAATTACCTTGGTGACAAGTTCTTCTGAATAAGGGAAACCGAACCTTTAAAAGTATTCTTTTATTTTTCCCAAATTTCTAAAGAAAAAGACTTTTAATCTTATATTTCATTTACTAATTCATTGCTTATATTTACGATTATAAACTAATAAATTTAATAATACTTTTAAAAATCCTATACAAAAAATTTAATCATTTTAAATTTAAACCCTATACCAAATCAACACACAATATTTTGGACCAACGTACTCAGTGTAACTGGGGAGCCTTGGTTCAAAAAAAAATTAAATTTCCTAATTGGAACTTTACATTGAGATGTTACATATTGATCTAAGATTAGAGGTTATTTATGTTATATTTATTGATATGTTTGAGATAGAAAAAGTGGGCCAACATGCCCCGGTCTCCCAGAAACTATAAATCAACCATTTTTTTTATAACCAATAGGAATGATCCACCCCGAGCTCCTTCCAACAGCTGTATGGCAACTCTTTTTGTTCTTTAGATCGTTTAAGGAGTTGATCGAATTGTCGGACGCTTTTATAACGGCGACTCCATTATATTTCGGTTTTTTGACTCCCTTATCTTATTATTATAAAAAAAGTAATTAAATAATAAATAAATTTATCTTTAATCTACATAATAACTCAACACAATTTATAAATCCCCCCCCCCCCTAATCAAACGTCAATCTGTTTTTCCCGGCAATGTGTCACTTTTTTTTTCAAACTCTAAAATCATTTTTTTAGCGCCTTTTTTTAAATTTAAAACCCGGAAATGTATTTGTTCATGTTCGGAATTCCTAACCCTATTAAATATGAAACAATTTCGTAATGAACTTTTTTGAACTTAATATTATATTAATTGTAAATGACTCACAGGTTAACGAATAGAATTTTTCTTAAAATTCATAAGATAGGTTATTCCAACCTAGACTGACAATTCATTCATTAAAGGTGCACATCTATGCAAATCAGCTGGAGACGCCATCTCGGTTACACTAATCGTTATTAAAATTTTAAACGAGAGGCCTAATTCATTCCTATATCTGATGCGAACTTTATATAATAAGAAGCAAGTTATCGATTAGTAGTTTTGAACGTGAGAATGATTACCATATGCGTTACCAAAATGGCGGCTCCCAGCTGATTTGCTTTTAACGACGCTTCAAAAATTGCATTTTAAATGAAACGAATCGTCAGTCTAGGGTATTATTATATATGTCATTCATTGGCTGGAATACATATTTCCGGTAAAAATCTCGACGATAACATATGGTCTCTGGAAGAAAAAAATAATTACCCGTTCCGTAGACTTCGGCTAATATAGGGGACAGGCTGAATTCCTGTCCGGCTTTGTAGATGTATCCGGGATCTAGGCTCACCAAATCGGCTTCGAAGTTCTTTATTTTGGTCATGCAATCGAACACGTCCTTCCCCACGAGGCATTCGAGTCGAGGTGTCAGACCCAAGTCGCCGAATGCCCGACTCATGGCCAGGCATTTGTTATTTTCCTCTACATTTATCACGCACCACCGAGCTTTAAAAAAAAATAAAAAAAATAATTAAAGGAGATTTAAATCTTTTGGCGCGAGATTTGAAAAGTTTGGCGCGATATTGAGGGAGCTGGGGGGTCAAGCGGGATCAATAAAGTAAAGACACAATTTTCCTACATTCAAAATATGTTTATATGCTACTACGAAAATTTCGAAAAAAAAATGTTAATAATAATAAATTAACGCGGGGAACAGCTGTTAACAGTGAAAATTGGAGACAGGTTTTCCTTAAGGAAGAAAAAAAAAATGTTCTGTTCTTTCTAAGCTTCGGTCCCTATTGACCTAGTCGTATCGGCTCTGGAACGTTTTAATTACTAGTGTTGTTAAATGTCACGTGCCCGTTTTTAAAAACGGTAAACACAATATTTCATCCAAAAAAAATATATATATTAAGCAAGCTTGAAGATTTTGCTCATAGAAGGAACAGGGGTCTAGGCAATTTTTTCTGGCTAACAACACTACTAATTACCTTCAGTAACGTTATGAAATAGTAATTGCTTGGAATATTTAATAATGACAACTTTCTAATTATCTTGGTTACGTGTATGTCGGGCTTCTGATGTTATATAAAATACTTTTATAATGTTCCATATATTGACCAAAACGTAACCTCCATTAATTGAACACTACATTATAGCTAAAATAGAATTGGTTTGGTCCTTCCTGTCGAACCAATTTTTAAAGCCTGAGAGTTCTCCTTATGGTTTTGTTCTTTTATAAGACAAGTGACTTTTTTGGCGACAAATTAGTTCCACGAGAAAATCCTTTCACAAGAATTCAATGTTCCTTGTCAATTACAATTACCTGTCAGATTGACAGGGATGTCAATATAAATGACAAATGTTTATTTTGATATCGGTCTTTCTAGCTGATTTTTTTTTAAAACTTTTTTCATTATCCACTTTCAATCTGATCTTATTGATTTAAGTTCTGGTCTCTCCCCCTAGTCTAACCTCCACTAGGAAAGCTCAAATTACATTGAGGAAGAGGGGGGGGGGAATCAAGTAACTTAAGTAAATTTTTTTTTAAAAATTCAATTATGGTACGAGGTTGATTGGGAAAATCCAATCACTTCTATATTCATATAAATATTTGCTTGGTAAGGGAGGTTTTGTACCTCGAGGATAGCTAACTTACAATTCTCTTAATTTTTCATTTTGATTTCACTTTAAAATGGGCGGTTATATACGGTATAAATTTCAAAGACTCGCAAAATCCAGCCCAAGGAATAACCCCCCCATAAACTTAAGCGGACCTTAAAATAAAATGAATTATAAGTATTTTTGGCTGGGCTCAGTTTCTAAAACCAACTGGACCTAAAAAAAACTGTAAATTCTAAAAATAGGCGGATTTTAATCCCTCCAATAAAAGATACAACCCCCTGAGTATGCCAATTATTTTTGTTCCTCTTAATTATTTCCCATCTTTTTTATCCCGGTTTGATGGGCGTTTTACTAGAGAACTAAACGTTGTTGTCATAATAATAACCTAGACTGATCACGCATACATTAAAAGTGTCCATCAATGAAAAACAGCTGGAGACGCCATTTTGGTGACCCATATCATTATTTAAAAATTTAAAACGAGAGGCCAATTTATTCCTATATCAGATGCGAACTTTATTAAAAGAATTACCGGATCATCGAGATAATAAGGGAAGCGAGTTATCAATTTAATAGCAATTTTTAACATGAGAATAATTACCATATGGGTTTTACCAAAATGGCGGGTCCAGCTGATTTGCATTCAACGACGCTTTCGCATGCATCGTCAGTCTAGGTATTATTATTGACGTCTAAGGCTAGTACGCTTAATGTCACGTTCGCATATCAAGTAAAAATAATAAACAAACTTATAAACCAGAGTTGTTAAAGGATCTAGATACTTATAAAAATGCGGTATCTGTATCTGTATAGATTTTTGATTAAAATATCTGTATCTAGATATTATTTTAGACGATGTATCTGTATCTAGATCCATTTAAAAAGTATCTTTTAACAACTCTGTTATAAACTAATACAAAACTGTCAAAAGTGTCAACTACTAAACAATATTTCGTAAATATCATCATTCATTAAAAAGATATTATTAAAACTTTTCAAAATATTTAATTAATGCAAAATTTTTTTATAAATATTCTTAGCCCCCCTGGGAGTTATAAGGACCTTTTTTTAAAAAAATGATTATCTATTATTAAGTCTAATAATAAATTAAAGAAATATTTTATAAATTTATAAATTATAAATAAAATCAAAATTAATATTTTTGATTATCAATCTTTTTCAGAAATTTTTTTTTTCTAAATCACCCGTTAGGGGTTCTATGAAACGCGTACTAAAAAGAGATTCATAATTTTGGTCAAAAAATTAGATAAATAATAAATTCGAATTTTATGGAAATCCTGTCGATGGTTCCTATGCGCGGATCTTTACCATATGGGTTGGGGATTCTTAGATTTCCAGGGAAATATTCTAATAGTGCCATTCCCCTCCCACCTTCCATTTAGCGAAATCCTGGATAAGTGCTATGAACTATTGAGTAGTTGGAGATCTCTAAAATTGGTCTTTCCTTACAACACAACCCATGAGGATATTAAACCCCCCCCCACTCCATATTTTAAAATCATTCTTCACGACGAACCTGTCTTTTAAGTTTATCACCTTCTCGGGATTTTTTACATCCTTCTGTCAAAATATTTTCGGACAACTCGATTCAAATCCATTTTTTTTTTTAAATTTCTTCCCTGAATTATATTCCATCGCCTTTTACACTTTAAAAATTTTTTTTTTATCCTCTCAAATTTTTGCCTATTTTTTTAAATCTTCCCTTTGAAACATCTTGATTTTAATTGGTCATTTGCTTCTTCGCACTAACCAATTACAATGTGGCAGGATTTTGTTAAGGGGATTTTTTTTTTTAGGTTCACTCATTATAGGCCCACGGATTTTTAAAAAATAATTATTTAACATATAACTCAGCCTTTTGTTTCTCTCAAATTATTGTTTATATAGGAATATATTGCATATATATTTTTGAGAAGTGATGGGAGTAGAGGTTAGTTTTTTCTTTAACAAGGGGGGGGGGGGAATTCTTCTTATCTAAATAAACATGCGAATTTCCGGGTGAAGTGGGAACGGCTAGATGTCTGCGTTGGGCGGATTTTTGGCCCGCTCGCCAATATTTCTGGCGGGCTTGGTCTGGTTTTCTAAAAATATTTTTAGCGCTAGAGGGCTGTGAAGAAAATTTAAAACGACGAGTGTGGCTGGCTTTTTGGGCTAAAAACCAGCCCATCGCAGACATCTAAGAACGGCTCCATGCCAACTCCCCCCCCCCTCCCGTTCCAATCGCTTATCACGTCACATCCCAAAAAATAGTTATGTGATTATAAATTAGAATTTATATTTTTAATGAATTGGGCTCATGTATGGGCCGGATATATATATAGATACATATATATATGTATCGACATTAGAAGTTAATTTTAAAAGATTATCAGAGTTGTTAAAGGATCTAGATACCCTGTATCTAGATATAAAAATATGGTATCTGTATCTAGATAGATTTTTGATTAAAATATATGTATCTAGATATTATTTTAGACGATGTATCTGTATCTAGATCCATTTAAAAAATATCTTTTAACAAACTCTGAAGATTATATAATAAATTAATGACAATTAAATATTACCCGTTAATCCATCTTGGCATTTTACCGAGATTAAGGTGAGGATCAATAAGATTAAACGACAGAAAACCATTCCGAATTAAGAATTAAGTAAATAATTTTTTTTTTTTTTTAAAAAATAATAAATAAAAATTTATATTTAATAATATTATTATTACACTACACTACACTACACTTTTGTTAGTCGTTAATAAAAAGAATTGTTTTTAACCTGAGGAAAAAAAAATATATATTTTATTATTTTTTTTTAACAAATCGTGAGTCGTTAGTGAATTTTATATGAAATCTTATACATAACATTAAACTTTTAGGGACCCCCATATAGGTAAATAAACTATTATATATGATATTTTTATTTTTAAATAAATATTTTAAATAATATTTATTATTATCTTGTTTAAATATTGTAACTTATTTTTAAAGTTATTTTGAAGTAAATAAATAAAAGTAATATTCGTTTTCAAATGTCCTCATTTATTATGTAAAATTTACAATGTTTATTTTTAAAATATATATTTTTTTTTTATTAAAAAATTTGATTTTTCCCGTTTATAAAATTTATTTCAAATTAATTTGTCAAACTTATATTAATGTTAGCTAATTTTGTATATATATATATAAATTTAAAAAGCAAGTGATATTTTCTATTAATCATAATTGATTTTTAAATAATTCTGACGAAGGCACAAAAAATCTCTTCTCTTCTCTGTTAAATTTATCAATAAAAGTCAAATGATAGATGGCATGGCAAAACGCTTATTGGCAAATCTATTGATTTTGTTTATTTATTATTTTTTTATTCAAAAACTAATTTAAATCTTGAAAGAAAAAAAAATTAATTTAATAAACGTTTTGGTCAATATTTACACAAGTTATTTCAAGGTCGTTTTAAGGAAATTCATTTTTTAAAAAAAAAATAAATTTAACATTTTACCGATAACAAAAATGTATCGTTTTAAAAATTAGTAAGTAATTGTAAAAAAAAAAAAAAATAACTAATTAATCAGAACATCTGATAGTGTATTTGCATTTTTAAATAAAATTTGCATAACCAAGGACCATTTTTTGTACTCTCCGCGTTACTGGTACGGCAGAGCGTTTTATCGATCTTCGTGATGCCAGCTCTTATGCGCTTTTAGGATAATTTCCAATCCCGATGCAGAAGTAATGGCATTGACACTTTTCAAAACATTGAGCAGTATCAATATGAAAATTAAGATCTACACGATAAATCAAGAACATCTTTAAGATAAAAGATACTTTGTTATGAAAAATTGGTTTAAAAATAGTATTTGTGTTAAGATTATATAAAAAATGTGTTAGAGAAAATATTAGTAATTTCCTAATTATATTGGAGTGCTCCGCTCAACCTTCTCAAAATTTTTGAGTTTTTACTTCCAATTAATTTTTGCCAAAGTTATAGCACGGTCAAAAATTGATCAATAAGCTTTTTTCCTATATTTTGATTTTTAAAACTTTGAATGTTGATTTTTCTCATTTTTAAACATTAGCGCAAGTGGATCACTCTCCAATTCTATGCCGACAATATTATTAAGAAGCTCATTTCATTCTCGAGAATAACAGGTCAAGACCCGTGGTTTACCAAAGAATCATATCATTTTCGTTTTTTTTTACCATCCAAAACTGCGATAAAAGAAATTATACGCGACGATGTGGAGGTTTTGTATTTATTATATATTTTTTTTTCCAGGTATAATTCTTTATTTAAATCACATACCTGCAGGCAAGACCCATGCCTAGAAAGCTAGATCCACAGATTTCTAAGAAGATCCTATATCATAATTAAAACTCCTCGTTGGGATCTCCGGTGTCTACACACCTACAGTTATTTTTTTTTCTTCAGAGGTCTTTGATTGATTGGAAAACATCGTCACCAAAGATTTCCATTTCCCAGGGTGTTTTAATAGTATTTTGAAGATCGAAGTATTTATCTATATTTAAATTATCGACATGGGTCAGGGCATGAGAAATCAACGCAAGCCTAGTCCTAAAGCTTTACCATCCGGTGCCTTTCAGAACTGATTTTAAAGGAGAACTGCTGATTCTTCGGCTTACGTCACATATGTTGATTGCTTTTTGTTGTGATTGGCGTTGGTAAAAATATTTGCAGAGTAGTGATTATATTCTTTATTAACCAATTTACCAGTCAACAAAGGTGTATGCCGTTACGATATTACATCCTAAGACCGAGGACGATGCATGTTCTGTTGTTCTGCCGAGAGGAACAACCCGAGGATTGTCCCTAGGCATTCATATCCTGTTTTAGCTTTAAAAATGATTGAATTAGGGTTTTTCTCAAGGAGACAGGGATAATCATCGGGAATGTGCAAAAAGTGGAGTTTCAGTCTTCTTGAGAATGGGTGGTTGGTCTGATGTTGTATGGTGGTCAGTTTATGTCACAGGTGCAAGAGCAATTTAATTTATTTTCTTATAAATATCTGTCCAATTTTATTTATTTTCCCTTAAAAAGCTGACCATTTTAAGCCCTGTAAATCTTGGGCATTTACTTCCATTTTTCTATATTTTGGCCGTTATGTTTACTCCTAACTTCTAGTCTTGCTATTTATTTTTCAAACTAATGAGTTTATTTTTCACATTCCTCTTCTTAGATTTACCTAGAATCCATCTTAGATTTTCGTGTTCATCTAAGAATTTTTATTACTATTATCCACACAATAAAGACGGCCTAATCACTGAGGAGTTATATCCATCTTTTAAATTTAACATCAAATTTTGAATGATTCAAAAAACGAGGGTCAGGATATTACTAGATTTAAAGATTCTCAGAATTTATAGCGCACATATTGAATAATTTTAAATGTTTATAGCTAAAGGGGATATACTTTAATGACGCAAACTTTAACTAACAGTTAAAAATAATATCTAATAACCACTAACTTACATACATAAATATATTATCAAATTTAATAAAAGATGTTAGGTTCAAATTCACAATTTGAAGTTTTAACGATAGATTTTAAATTTCGACATTATGCATAAATTACATGCTGCTAAAATAAAATTGTATCTTGCTCTACCTTTATAGTTAACACGTTATTTTCAAGCGTTGCGTTATTTAACGCGGAGTTATTACAGCTGATTCAGTTTTAAAAACTAATTTTAAGATAAAGACAAAATAGGGATAACTAATCACCGCAAACGCAACATATGTTTTTCATATTTTATCATAGCATTATCATCATAACGCTCCATATTTATAATAGTTTTATTTTATAATATTTCATATTATGCTTAATTTGTAATACATTAATTTAAATAAAAAGCTAAAACCAGCCATTAAAATATTTTTAAGCATTAGCCTGGGTTAAACCAAATTTATATATAAATGGGTGGGCAGGCGGATAAATATTTCCCTAAAAAATTATAAGTTGGTTTGGCGGGTTAAAAAAAATTCAAAAGAGCGAGTGAGCTTATTGGCTAAAAAAAATCGCCAATAGCGGATCTCTACTTCTTATATCTAATCTAATGCCTCATAGGCATGTTGCGCGATTTTTCTCGATCTATTTTAATAAGATTAAGTTTTAAATAAAAGACAATAAAAAAATAATATCTTTTTCTTAACCAGCGAAAAGCGAGTTCAACCTAACCAAGGATCAAATTTATCCTCCGAGTAAAGATGAAGGAAGCCCCAACAGCCAAGAAATTTGATCGGTCAGATGCTTTAAAAGATTCAAAAATTTGTAACGTTTTTTGCAAAGCTTTGATTTATGGTAATGGTAACAAAATTAATAAGCAAAAAATCCTAATTGATATGCCGCCTGACTACACCCTTTATATTTTGTTGAAAATTTTCATCTTATATGTGAGATATTTAAGTTTAATCAAGCTTCACAGAAGCCTAATATATCAACTATCCAGAAAGATAGTATATTTTAAAACTAATATATAATAACATCAAAGGACATAATTCACGTTGAAATCTATTTTTGCAAAATTTTATTAATTAAACTAGGTCACAAGGGCTGAGAGTGGTTAATTATGAAGTCATAAAAAAATTAAAATCAAGATAAAATTTGTAAATCGCCCATAAAGGTCATACTAAATAAAAGTTAATAAATACATTCGAAATAAAAATATAACACATAATAAATTATTTATCCAAATTAATATATATCTTTAAAAATTTGTCGAAAAATATTAGAAAAAAAATATAATGAATTCAAGATGTTTGTGAATTGGTTTTGTTGGGTTCGTTTTTGAGCTGATTGCTAAGAGTTAAATGCTGAGCAGACAGGGGAGGAGTTGGTTTAGACTGCATACAGGATTTAGACACCGAATCGAATAATCTTAAAAAAGGACGAAAATAAAATTATTTTAATGTATATCTATAAATATTTAGAATTGTATGTCCTGTAAATTAATTTTTTTTACAAAATTCTTATCAATCATATAAATGTCGTAAAAGTTAAAGTCAGTTTTTTTTTGAAAGAAAGAAAAAAAATGATGGAAGGAGTAGCGAAGATCAAGAAGTGGTCTTTGGTCCGGACCCATGCACTTCGACCGGAACACGGTCTTTAAAAAAACCGATCCAGACCGCGGTCATAAATATTAAAAAAACATATCCGGGATCTATCTTTTGATTGTTATTTATTTTTTAAAGTCTAATTCAATTCTTAATTATTGGGACTTTATAGTTAAAAATGCTTCTTTGACACGATCATTAATATATAAAAAATAAAATTACATAAACTTAAAACATTAATAAAAAAGTAAAAGGACAGGTCAGGGTTGCGGTCCGCTCAAAAAAGGAACGAACCGCTGTCATTGATTTCCGTTTATTTTATTATTTTTTGATGAAAGCGTTCGGTTTTTAAGTTGAATCAGGTTAACAATGTTTGTCATTGATATGATTGGTCGAATAATGATAAAATGTATATGTTTATTTAATTTCAATGACATGTATAATACCTAGACTCACGATTCGTTCATTGAAAGTGTACATCAAAATGCAAATCAGCTGGAGACGCCATCTTGGTTACAGGAGCCTAATTTATTCCTATATCTGAATGCAAACTTTATTAAAGAATTACCGGATCATCGAGATAATAAGGGAAGCAAGTTATCAATTTATAATAGTAGTTTTTAACATGATAATAATTAATATATGCGTCACCAAAATGGCGGATCCAGCTGATTTGCTTTTAACCGACGCTTAAAAAAATGCATTGTCATGAAATGAATCGTCAGTCTAGGTATTATATTATGTCATTGATTTAATTATAATTTTAATAGTTTTTTTTTTAAAATAAATAATGTTTATCGATTTCTTTTTAATGTTTATCGTTGAAAGTGAAAAAAAATAAACAAAATAAATAATTATTCATTTTTGTCGAAAAAATTCAAGTTTGAAGTTTCAAGAAGTTGAAAAAAAAAATAAGAAAAAGAAAAATAAAAATTATACATTTAAATTCCAAAAAAATAAATAATAAGTTAGATAAGTTATATCTGAGTTTTAGGTTAAAATAGAAAAGGGTTATAACTGTTTATCGCATAATAACAAGTTACTTTTCGATCTCGGGAGCGCATCTGACAAAGTCGTGTTGCCAAAAATTGAACGAAGAATTCTTGATAAGCTCGATGAAGGTTATCAAAAGTCCCCAAGGGTGGGGTCTGTTCACTATAAGCCTCTCTAATAGTACTCTGTTTTCGTAGGATTATATCACATAAATTTCAAGGAAATAGATTATTTAGTTTATATTAAAGAAGTATCCAACTATCAAGTCATTTCAGCTAAAGCGATCATCGGCCAATGTCGATTTAGAGCAAAAGAATAATTCCTCAAAATAAAATATTTTTGTTTTAGTGTTTATTCACGAAAATAAGACAGAATAAAAGATAACTCCCCTTAAGCTATCATTATCAATTTAATCCAACCTAAATTTAAGGACATGCTATATAAAAGGACCTTACGTGTGGTTGGTGGTTACTCTATATGTGACAAGAGCTCACCAATTGTTAAATCGAGCATATACTCAAATTTTCTGGAACAAGTATATGGGCTCGAGTAAAAATTTAGATTTTATTTTCTACCAATCAAATTGTAGCTAGTAGAGAAATAATATTTCTACGAATATTTTATTCATATCGCGCGAAATTACGCTTTTGCCCGGTATCGCCAATGGCTGGAAAAGTTTTGCAGGAAATGACGCCCAACCAAAATATATTTAAATTTAGAGAGAATTTATAACCTGGTGATTTGTTCCTGTATGGCCTCCGTGTTAGCCTCGGCGAATAAATGCAGCAGGATACAACTAAAATAATGGGTGTGGCTATTGGGGTACCGCAATTGATTGGCTATGGCGTTGAGAAACAGGTAGCGACCTATGGATAAGGGGGTTATCCCCCAAATTATTTAAAATAGCAATGGGGGTATTTAAAAAAAAATACCTTCCGAGTCCAAACCAACCGCTAGATTCTGAAAAATATCCATGTGGGCCGAATGGGTTATAGTCGTAAGACCCGGGGTTAGCCCCTTGTTTTGAATGGAAGATATGGCTTGCGTACCCACGTACAGAACCAAGGCGTTCAGCAAGGGGATATTGTAATGGGAACCCGCACTGGGAGCGGCCTTAATTTTGTTTTTTTATTGAGCGTAGCGCATTTTAATTTTAAAAATAACAAAATATTTTTATTAAATCAGACTCGCGCCAAAATTAGGGAATATGAATAATTAATATCAATCGCGTTACGAAGGATCAGCTGATTCATGATTCGTTACGAAATAATTTAAAAAAAAAATACTCTCAATAAAAAGAAGGTGGGGGGGGGGAAGGGAGAAATTTAGATTAATTTATATTTATAGGACAGGTGAAATACTTTTTTACCCAAAATGATACATATCATCCAATAAATAATACTTTTTTTTCTTCATTATTCATTAAAAAATAACTTAATCGAAATAATTTTATTTTTAAGCACTTATTTTTTTTTTATACAACTCATGTTTTATGACCATAAGGTATCTAAGAAATTAAAGTGTCAAAAAAAAGTTTATGGTTTTGTAACTAGTGTAAAACGAACCAACCCAATATTTTAGCCATAAATATTATATGCACACTTGGAGATTTTGCATATAGATGGAAGAAAGGTTTGGACATCTTCAATAACATTTTTTGGCTAAAATCTTTGGGTTTAGCCGTTTAACAACGTAGCGCGCAAATCACATTCCAAAACAACAATGATAAAAAAAATTACGGAAAAAAAATGTCATATTTTTTTTTAAACCTGCAAATTTGATCGAATATCTGTCAAGAATGTCACGGGACTTCTAGTCTTGAGATAAATGTCCAAACACTTGATTAATTTTTTTTTGAGGGTTAAAAAAACATCATATAAAAACCAGACAAACTTATAATCGATGGAGCGTGTGACCTCCACCGTCAATCGTTAGCGGTCTCCAAAAAATAATAAAATGAATAATTAAAATATATTTCAGATAAGAAAATACAAAAAAATTATTATGACTATTGTCTCGTCGGTATAGAAATGCTTCTAAGGAAGCAACCGAGACCCAATAATAAATAATGTAGTATAATATGTTCATTGAAGATAGAGGGCAAAGATATAAATTCACCAATAATTATCGAAAACCGATATCAACTGGGATCGGAAACCGGTATCGGTTAAAATTGAAGGTATCAATCGATGTCGATCTAATACCTATCCGCATCAGCTATTTAGTTTTGTAATTCGGATCATTATCCCAAGACGATATCTTGAGTATTTACGCAAAATCACTTCATTTTGAGACCGATTTTTAAATAGGGTCTAATTAATATTTTAGCCATCCCGAGATTTGGATAATAAATGTTCAAACCTTCGGTATCATCTACGAGAAAAATCTCAGGCTTGGGTATCATTTTTCTGGATAAAATACTTGAATTAGGGCCGTTATTTAAAAAACCGGTTCAAATGAAACAATTCTCATTAATCTTGAGAAAAATCCATTTTTGATTAAAGAAAGTAAAGATTTAGCATATAAGCAACGAATTACACTATATAACCTTCTTGAAAGCGCCTTGATTCTCGAGACTATGATCGTTGACCATGCGGCCAAAGTCCAAGTGGGGAGTCAGCTTGGGACTGTTCCCTATCTCGGGCAGCATGTCCACCTTCAGGTTGGGGGTAAAGGGGTCCGGAAGTCTCATGTCGCGGGGGAAGGCCGAAAGAATAAGGTTCCTCATTTGGACGCAGTGGGGCGGGATAGCATCGCAGAAGCCATAGTGGAAGTCGCACAAGAATTCGGGAAAATCGTGAAGTAGCACGAGAAGCAAGCGTAGGCTACCCTGTAATTGTGCGTTATTTTAATTTTAAATTTCCCAATGTCACTTTCATACAAAAAAAAAAGGTATGTAATCGATGGCACCAAAGATCCCATAGATACGAGTAACTTTTAAAAAAAAATCGATATTTTTTTTTAAAAGAAAAAATAAATTATTAACGTTGTAGAAATAAAGAAGGGATCTTGGCAAATCGACGTTCCTCAAGAATGGCGCCAAAAATTTGAACATGTCGGTCAGCAGGAGCGCGTAATAATTCCAAATCTTTGAGAGTAGAAAAAAATATAATATTAAATTAGATTATTACCTAAAAAATAAATATTAATACTTGGCAAATATAAAATACAACCCTTATATTTATATCCCATACTCGTGTTCATTTCTAGCATCCATTAAATTATACCAGAGTTGTTAAAAGATACTTTTTAAATGGATCTAGATACAGATACATCGTCTAAAATAATATCTGGATACAGATATTTTAATCAAAAATCTATCTAGATACTACAGATACAGATACCACATTTTTATATCTAGATACTAGGATTTAGATACTTGTATCTAGATCCTTCAACAACTCTGAATTATACAAGTCAAATTGGAAAGATTTAATGTGGTCTTATGGCTCTAGACTAAGATAAATGATGTATGTCAAGGCCAAGGCTTAAAATTATTTCTCAGCATAATTAATTGTACTCTGTAAAATATTTTTTTAAATATACGATATACAATCAAAACATATAATTTATCAATAGGTATAGACCACCTTGGATTGAGAAGGGTAGGTCAGGGTTTTGGCGATGAACGTGCGGTGAGCGATGAGTTCTAGCCAGGAAAAGGCGAAACCCGGAACTTCGCTAGGCCTAAGGACGTGGTACGCGTTGCTAATAAAAATGTGTGGAATAAATTAATTTTTATTAAAAACGCGAGAATATCATTATGGGGGTATTTGTGAACGGGGTAAAATAATTAAGGGGGGGGGGATGACGAGAATAGTTAAAAATCGGATTGGGAAGATTTAATTTTAAAATTACTAACCAAAATGCGGTGATTATATTGATTCCGTGAGATTCCATCAAAGCTTGCATACTCACGATCTCGGTGTAAAGCACGGAAAACAGCCGGTAAAAGGGGACCGGTTGAAACCGCCCGTTATGACTTGGCGGAAACCTGTGATGTTGAACTAGCAGACCAACGAATATTCCCAAAACCTTTTAATAGGAAGAATTTTTTTTTTTACAAAATACCCTTTGCATCGTTCAAATTAGGACGACTCTATCCGTCCAATCATCATATTTAAAAAACGCAAATACGTTTGCGATTTAATTTATCGTTTTAGATTTTTGAATATGACCAAATTTAAACGACGCTGGAAATATTTTTTTTGTTTATTTCGTTTTTATCAAGTGAGAAAGAAAGAAAGAAAGAAAGAAAGAAAGAAAGAAAGAAAGAAAGAAAGAAAGAAAGAAAGAAAGAAAGAAAGAAAGAAAGAAAGAAAGAAAGAAAGAAAGAAAGAAAGAAAGAAAGAAAGAAAGAAAGAAAGAAAGGAAAAAAAGAGAACTCATTACAGGATACTCCAAAGGAGTTTACCTCGCCAGCAGATTTCTTTCTCAAACATTTCCTCCTCTCTAAGATGACATGTTCCTGTCAAATTTATTTCTACCAAAAATTGGTTCTTAACAAGATGAAAAAGAGCAAATTTTCTCTCATACAACTGATTTGAATAAAATCATACAATTTAAATTTTTGTTTTATATTTGGTATTACAAAAAATTTAAACAATAAAAAAAAAATATTACACTGCATAAATAAATAAAAATTCGATTTAAAATTATTTTGGATTTACAAAAAAAAAAAATTACTAATATTTCCGAATAATTTAAATATTTACTAATTTGTTATTCGTCAATTTTTTTTAATAAAATTATGATTGGCTTTCTATTCCAATATTCGTAAAATTTCGATAAGCCTATTTACTAACCTTATTCATGAGGTTGACTTGGGTGCCATTGTTAAGGCTCTGGTTGGAGTGCTTGATGAGCAGCGATATTAGCTTAACATACGCGTCGATGTGCTGGTAGCAATTGTTCAGTCCCAGAACGTCCAACCGCGCGCGTTCTTCCAGTAAATTCGCGTTTTCCGTGGCCTTCCCGCTAGCGATATCGTTGTTGCTATTCTTGCGGGGATCGGGTTCTTGGAGGCTCTTGTAACAGGACTCGAGGCAGATGTCGGTACAGATGCGGAAGAAACGCGTTATCAGGTCGTCCGTTTTAAAAATGCCTTGTTGGTGCATCTTGAACAAGTATATAAAACCAAAAATTTTCGTAGATGAAATCAAAATTTCAAAATGAAGTCAAAAAAAGTTCGGTCCAGATCAATTAATCAATAAAATATGGGTCCCAAATCTGCGCGCGTATTTATTTTTTTAAAAACCTGCATCATAAAATTGGTGATGGTAGAATCGATGTCCACTCTTCTACCACAACCGGAGCCCTTTTCCCCCATCGACGCTTTGAATTCGGAGTTGGCGGCATTCGTAGAGTTAGATAGTGACCCGGGGTACAGTGGACCAGCCCCCAGGTAAAAACGATACGTTTCGAGCCATTCCTTGTATAAGAAATCGACCCGATCTCTCAAACCTACAAAAAAAATGAAAAAAAAATCAATTCATATGTTAAACATTTAGAAAATCTAATTAACAACTATTACATCGCACCCTCTAAAACGGTCGAGATTACCTATAGGGTCGTCGAATTCTTTGGCGGCGGAAACGCCGGAATGGAACATGGCAGCGTAGACCGTAATAGATAGGTCTTTATCGCTGCCCAAATTAGCGAAATCCTTGGCGGAACGGGAAGGCGAGCTACCGGTGGTCGTAATCGAGTCCAGGAATATTATGTCGGAGTGATCCGTCAAGTGGTTGAGCGTTTCGCGTAACCTTTCAACAAAAAAAAATGGGATGAATAAAATGGAGTCCCTTTTCAAGAAAAATCCTGTATCGTCCTCCCATATTTTTACGAATAAATAGGTTCGTCTCCATTTTGGATGTTGCCCTTGGGTCATTTATTCAAAAAAAAAATGAACCTAATCCTCTCTCAAAATACTTCAATTAGACCGTTAAGAAATTAATTTTTTTTATATATATCGTCTAATAAACTTATTTAAAAACTTGAATCAAGTAATTTTCAGGGAATTTCTGTACGAATCATTGAGTTATTTCTGGTAGAACCTAACCTAGATATTCGCATCCCCGGTTGTCGATAAAAAAAAACCCCCGTAAACATAAACTAAGAACTTGAGCCTAACACTCGATTTCTGGAGCAATCATCTAACTTTAGTTTCTCCTGCCCCCCCCTTTCCTTCACTCCTTTTTTCCAATGAGAATTACCGCAAATTTTTTAAAAAAAAATCAAATACTCGTAAAATAGGGGGATATTGTGCCTGGTTCCGTGGGATAAATTAGCCAGGGCATCGATCGTCTTGTAAAGATCAGAATCGGTGAGCGGATAATTTTCTCTTTCGTTCACGCAAAATTTGTTGACGAGTTTGATGACGTAACTGATGGCCTTAGCCCCGCTGCTGCTATTATTGGCATTATAAATGCCGTGGTCCATGGTATTTTCAAGACACTTTTTTGTTTTGGGAGAGGTAAAATGAATTAAATTACATACTAATAAAATGGGTTTTTAAGCTTCTTTCTAATTAGGCAAGAAAGTGTTGGATTGTTAATTAAACGTTATAGCATTTATTGAATGACTGAGAGATAGCCATTTTTATTTCGTTGCGATAATCGGCTAACTCTAATGAAAGCCATGACCCAGACCCGTAATTCTAACCGAATCGAAATTCTAGGAACTGGGCCAGGGCTGTGGTCCGGTGTCTCGGGGCTGAGACTCTAAGATCACCACTTCGTTCGAGTACACACATGTTATTAGATACAGTTATAATTGAACTATTAGACGCAATGTTGTTAAATCGTGCAGTATACTTGCGACAAAAAGGAGTCGTACATAGAAGCGTTCAGCAATCGATCGTTGTAGAGGACGGTTATTAGCTCCAGATCGAAGCCGATATCATCTTTATTTTCCACCAAATACCTTGTCGGTTTAATTATTTTTTTTAAATGCAAGACATGTATGATTATGCCGGATTGACCCCTTTAATATTATTTCTACAGAACTACTGGGGCTCAATAAGTAGCCTTTTCTCTACTTTACATAGGAAACCAAAAGCGTGAAGTAGCATATTATACAAGACGGCCGATGTAATTCTTTTATAAAAAAGGTAATAATCTTTAAATTTCACATTTTTACCCTTTTAATCTGATTTGATCTGGTTGATATCACCCTAAAAATCAACAGTTCTCTAGTATTGTAAAATCGCTACCTTTTGAGCCCATTTTTTAATCCACAAAAATAATTTCGAGCGAACCTAAAAATTCGACTCATATGATAGCATAACGTTCGAACATCTGTTAGCGAAATCTAGAAGCGCGGGTAAAAAATTTTTGTCAAAAATATTAGGTTCGCCAGCTTACAAAAATAGGCTCATAGTGGAACGATTTTTACTACACTCTGATTGACTCAGATATATATAAAAAACTAACTTGGTGACGTGCTTGTTAACCCACTGGGGTCCGAAGGTTCTAGGGTCTTGCAGCGTCTTGAGAACCAAAACGTGAGCATCCCTCAACTTAGCTAGCGATTCATCGTGCTTGCCCTGAAGTCTCGCGGAGCTGTTACAACATTGGACCAGACCGTCAATGCACTTGATAAATAAAAAAAATATATATATAATAACCGGACATGCCTGGTCCACACAAAGTGCGACTTGGGCGGACCGAATCTTAACCGACCTAACGCGTGAAAATAGGTCCGATGTGGTGCTCTACTATTTTAACATAAAAGTGTTTTAAATTTTCTGGTTATGTGCTCGATGCGAACTCAGCCAGTGAAAAATAGGTAAGAGTTTTCGATCTGAAAAAGAATCTAGAGAATGGTCACGTCTATAACAAAATCATATGGGAAAACAAAATGGCATGTCACGGGCTGATTTGTAACAGCTTGGTTTCTAAATACGCTTAACATTTTATATTTTTGTAACATAATTTTTAACAATTTATTTCCATTTTTCATAGGTCTATAAGACTTTTTAGCCCCCTTAATCTCATCCAAAAAGTTGGTTTGGGAAAAAATATTAATTTCATATTACTCAATAGCTACTCAAGTTGTCCATTTTTTGAATATACAACTAGTCAAAAAAAAAATAAAGAAAAAAAATGTGATTTGTAAACTTTGTGAATAAGGTTTTGAATGCCGGCCATGGCAGAATTACTGAGCTTACTGCCAGGTTCATTAATGTTGGAAAAGTCCTTCATCCCGGTTAATCCAGATGCTAGATTCCTTATCACGAGGGATAGCTGTATGACCGATCTAAGAGGAGCAGATGTGTAAAGACGGTTGGGACTTGTGTACTTTATATATATATAAAATAATTGTATAGAAGTTATAGAGTCGTCTTTAAAGTATAGACTTAATAGCCAAAAAAAACGAGAATAAAACACAAAAAAAAATAGCAATGCCACCAAATATTTAAAATAAAAGATCCTGAACCAAAATACTTTTTTTAGCCTATACCAAAAAGCAATTAAGCCGACCTAGGATCAGGGCCCCTTTCCTAAAACGATTTCAAATGTTGATTAGTAAGTATCATCCTATCTTTTATCATCGAAAGCATTCGTACCCATTTTTAATGGCACGGGGTTAAAAAGAAACTTTTATTTAGACAAAAAAAACGCCAGGAAATGTAAAAAAAACTGGTTATACTTAAAATCTGGGGATATTTCCCATTAAAGATTGAAATTAGTGTTGTAAAAAGGTTCGTTTTAAACCAATTTTTTTTTTAAAACGGCTAACTCAATATTTTTATCCACAAAAATATTACGTAAGCATGAAGATTTTCCCCATAGATGGGTACAAAAACAAAGGTTTATACATCTATTAGCGAAATCTCGCGGCTAACGCAACAATATTATTCTGGCTAAAATATTGAGTTAGCCGTTTTAAAAAATCGACTCAAATTGAGCCGTTCAAAAAACACTAGAAAGAAAGAAAGAAAGAAAGAAAGAAAGAAAGAAGAGATGGCGCAATGTAAAAAATAAAAAATTGAAATATCAAAATCAAAAAAAAAAAACTTGTATTTTTTTTTTCATACCTAACCCTAACCCCGTTGTTAAATAGTTCTGATTCGGGTCGGTTTTAAAGAAAATGGCCCGATCAAGATTTTAGCCCAGAGAATAATATTGTGCAAACCTCGAAATTTGGCAAACAGCTGTTCAAACATTTGTAGCCATCTTGTGAGCACGAATCTCCTTGGTTATAATCTTTAATAGGGCTTTTTTTTAACAATGCTACCTCTAACACTATACGCTTTAAAAGGAGAGATTTTTTTTTTAAAAAACCTCGGATATGGCATCGCTCTGAATACCCATGTGACTTAGTCGTTTATCGAGCTCGTCGCTCAGCTTGACCAATATACCGGACGGGGCAGGATGGGCCCTAAGAAGGTAGGCGTTCTCTGGCTCGTTTGGGCGGGTGTCTAGGAACTGCGAACACGGCAAAATGAAAAAATTAATATAATGTTTTTTTCCTAATTGTTCTGGAAGATTCTAATATTCTATTTTTAAAAATGTAGGTTAATATTTAAAAATTATAAAGTAGTTGGGATTACCTTACACTTACACGGGAAAGCGGGTTTAAATACGGGTCGGAAAAAAAGAGATTTTGCAGGGCTCTAGTACTAATATATATAAATAAAAAGGGTAACGATATTATGTAACGGCGTTACATTTGTGGGGGAAAAAAAATAACGTCGATAAAAAAAAGTTATCCGATTAATTTTACCCCGGGCATGGCACTAGCTTGCGACGATTTCTGTGGCGGCCCGTTGTTGAAAGACGAGGTCGCGTTTGAAAGGGAGCTGTTGGAAAGGAACCCGGGAATATTGCGGGAAAATACGTCGTAAACCAGGGATTGGTTGGGGCTAGCTCCGCCCATCTTTCCAGATAATGAATAAAAGAAAATTTAGTTGGCAACGTTAAGAATCGATAGTGATTTATCTAAATGGGAGGAGGATAATGGGAGTGATCAGAAGACGTGGGGGGCGTGAAACGGTCTTCCAAGCCGAGACTTGGGGCGGGCGATAGAAGGGTTAGATGATCGCGATAACGGAATCCGTTAAGGGACCTGAGCTTAAATATTTGACCCTTTTCACATTTACGCAAACAGGAGTGATCATCCATATAATTTCTCTTTGAACACATACTTACCAGGTTGTGGTAATTAGGATTTTATTAAGTTTACTAATGATTATATATATATGGATATTTTGTTACATGTTTTATAATGCTGATAAATATAATAATTATATACGATAATTTCCTAATATTTGTTATATACACTTATCCATTCTGTTTGTTTCCGTCATACCATTAACAATATATAAAGTGGAGTAAAAGCCAATGTGTATATATCAGAAGACAAATGAGTATACCTAATAAACTCATGGAAGAAGGAAGAAGTTCCAAGGCCTCAAGAAGCGATAACAAGGTTGCGAGATATTGAAGATAATAAAAAAATCGGATTATCTTGAAATTAAAATACTACAAGAAATTGGACTTGCACGAAAAAATGCTTCTGTTAATAGAAGAAACGTGTTACCTAGCTCTTATAAGATTTTCTTGGTTGAATGCAAAGAGAAACAATAGCGCAAAGAATCTTTCCTTTTCTTACGATGGCTCTTATCATATCTTACGATACTATTGGCCCAACTCCATCTTTGCAATCGGATTTCCTCCCTGAATCCAGATAATTTCGACCCCATCTAACTTACTAACAATGAGCGAAAGAATTTTGAAGGACCCTGAAGCAAATTTGTATGATAGGTACAAAGCTCTTTTCACTCTCAAGGACATTGGGACTGATGATGCAGTTGAAATAAGCACAGGTTTTAGCCGATCATAAAAATAGTCAGTCTTACTTATTAAAGCACGAGCTAGCCTTCGTTATGGGTCGACTTTTTGCCACTAAAAGAAAGGCTTAGCGATAAAACGGGAGCATTGTATGGTTAGACACGAATGCGCTGAAGCCATAGGATCTATCATTGGATCCAGAAATGCAAATCCAGCTTCCTGGTGGAACTAACGAAAATATTTAAAATTTCTCAATTATTCATCGGGACGTTAATGATCAAATCGGGGAAGATGGCGCAAATCAGAGAGGAAATATTGATAAAATAATCGCCATTTTGAGTGAAAATTGATTGAGAATCGAGCTAGCTCGATGAGCAACATGAGTGGGCTGAATTTGTTCCAGAACTTTTAGGTCGCTCACGTGTTTATTTGCAACTACAATTAAAAGAAACTGTTAATTTTTAATTCAAAGACGAGAGGAGTTTTTATTCATAATGGCACAAAAATACTCTATTAGGAACAAATTTTACGGATGTTAAAATGTTAACAGAATTGATACAGGAGTTGGCAGAATATTGTAGATATGGTGCTGGCTGAACATCCAAAAACTTAACAGCAGCCAACCAAGAAATAAGATCTTATGTTAGAAGTTTTCCTGAATCTATAGTAAATTGTGCTCGGAATGATTTTTTTTAGAAGAGTGAACCCAAATATTAAACCTGGCTACAAAATAGGAAGATTGTTTCTGAATAAGAATATTTAAAGTACGATATAAAAAATCTCAGGATGAATGCTGATTGACAAAACTACTGGTCAAATTTTAGAAACTCCAATCTATGATGTAATTCCTCCCTATGGTGATGGTGAAAGATGGTCATCGCAATTGTTTTACAATAGCAGGAATGAAGATGGTTCTCCAGCGGAAAAATTTTTGTGAGGAAGGACATTTTTAATGCTGGATTCGTTAAAGGAAGGAGAAAATGAAAAGGTTGGATGTGTAGTGAAATCTAGTAAATTTTTCCTGGGACAAGAAATACGTATTTTTTTAATGTTCAAGGAAAAATTCAAATGGACCATGGGAAAGGTGGGAGAAATAATTGGCAATGTCAAATACATGGTTAAAGATGACAATGGAATAGTATACTGTAGACATCAAGATCGATTGGGGCCAAGAGAGTAATGTAAAGGAGGGGAGATGTTGTAATTAGGAGTGTATGAGAGAGAGATATGGTGATTGATGTTGGAGAGTGTTGTGTATTTTGAAAAATGAATAACGTTTTTTGAATAGTATGTTCGAAGGAAAAGGGAAAATGAAAGATATTATAATATTTTTTTTATACGATAAAAAAAAAGTTTTTGGATTTAATTACAAATTAAATAAAATAATTGTATATTTTTTATACGAAAGTTTTGAATTTAATTTTAAATTTGAATAAAGAAATAATTAATATTTTGGTACGGAAAATTATTATATTGGAATTCCGCCCGCGGAACCATAAATTCCACATTCCATTATAACTAAGATATAATAATTTGCTGGCAAAACCCGGGATTCGAACCCGGATCTGCTGCTTGGAAGGCAAGATCCATCGATATTGATGTTCCGGTGGGAGATCAAGACACAATGGCTCGATAACGATACTCCATCGATATTGATGTTCCGGTGGGAGATCAAGGCACAATGAACTCGATAGCGATACTCCGGTCAGAGATCCATCGATATTGATTCTCCGGTGGGAGATCATTATCTAGGAAAATGATATTGATACTCTAGGCGTGATCAACTTACCAAGGCAGCTTATCTAGATGCCCTTTTGAGAGATCGAAATGTTAATTGGGGAGAGGTCGTGTATGTCTCTAGGAGATATAGTTTTCCTATCAATCAATGAAAGGGAATATAATACTCAGGGTAATATGAAAGTAGGGGATGAGGTTAAAATTAGTAGTAAGGGTATAAAAGTAATGAAAGATTTTGTATGTTGGGAATTGGAAGGAGGTACTAAATGATAATACTTTTAGTATGCCAGATAATGAAACTTTTGCCATGGAAACATTAAAAGGTAAGATAGCGTACTTCAATTCTCAGGGCAACTGTGGCGAGGAAAAATTCTTAAATATAGATGACAGAATAAAGGGGATATATGGGGAACAACTACGAAGGATTAGTGACGATAATACAAATAAATATAATGGGGGAGACAAATTACCAAAAGGAGAAGATAATATCGAACATAATGTAACAGTAAAAACATATCCTTATATTTTAAATATGTCTTTGGCTGAAAAATTAAATTTCAAGAGTTGGCCATATTTTATAAATGAATTTTACCAATTTAATGAATAATACAACTCTACTTCTTTTTTTATGCAAATTAAACAACATTTTGATAGTTTTAATAACGTTTTCATCTGGCAAAACACTTTGTACCCAACAATCTACAATATCCTTTACGCATAATATCCTACCATGGTAATGTGTGCCCATCTTTTCGGGATTGCTTTTAGTTTTTACAAAGAAATTTTTTGGGAACATCTTGAGCTATAGCCCTTTTCTTTATAGACGCACAATGGATATTTGATAGATAAAGTAGAGACATAGTGCTTGCTAAAGGATTAGGATCTTTCAAACACTTTGACGATTTCTCTATTAATTTTAAGTTACTCCGTGTGTTTTCCCTTAAAATAATTATTGTTATTCTTCCTGGTGTTGATGATGTTGTCGCATGCTAACAAAAGGATATCTCTTGAAATTTAATTTTTCAGCCGAAGACATATTCAAAAATATGAGGATATGTCTTTACTGTTACATTATGTTTGATATTATCTTCTCCTTTTGGTAATTTGTCTCTCTCATTATACTTATTTGTATTATTGTCTCACTAATCCTTTGTAACTGTTCCTCATATATCCCCTTTATTCTGTCTAGTGTTGTTAAACCACCTAATTTTGGTCAACTATAAAACAGCGTGGCCATGTTTTTAATAAACATATTCGAATCAATTTTCAAGCTGAGACTCAACTTAGGCTAAAGGTTTGACTAAGCCACAATAGAAATGGTCTCAAAGTTAGGTAATTTAACAACACAACTGCCATCTATATTTAAGAAATTTTCCCCGACACAATTGTCCTGAGGATTGAAATAAGCTATATTATCTTTTAATGTTTCCATGGAAAAAGTTTCATTATCTGGCATTAGAGAACTGCACGGGCTGTCCGTAGCCCGACCCGTCCCGAAAATAAATAATATTATTAATATCTTAAATAGTCAGTGTAATTTATAATATTAATTATAAAATCATATCATTTAATATTTATCACATTTTAGGATTAAAATGTCAATCATATTAACATGTCATGTCATTATTAATTATTATTTTATAAACCTAACAACCGGATACCAAACTATTTTATCACTAAATTGTGTGTTTCCCGTGAATTACAGGATAAGACATATTTTATGTACTAAAGATAAGTTTTATTCATTATTTATTATTTATCTAGCCTATACATTGTCTTTTTTAACATTTGTTTTAAAAAATTTCCATATAAAATTTAAGATTGGGATTTGATTCAGGGGAACTTATTTCTATAATTTAAATTTCACTACCATAAATGTTAATCATCCTAGAAATTAAAAAAATATTATATAAAATTGGTAATGATATTCTAAGTTACATTTATATATAAAATATAATCTTTACTTATTTCGTTTTGTTATTATTTTTTTTTATCTATCTACCTTAATATGAGTTGTAAATTTTCCAGCTAATTTTGGTTGTCAATATTTTAAAATATGGCAGAAAAAAATTAGGAAATTAATATAAGATTCTCAAAGAAAATAAGATGTATACTGTGATATGTAAAATTTAAAACATGAATATTAAAAGAATCTGTATCTGTATCTTTTGTCAAGAAAATGAAAAAGATACAAGATTCTTTTCAGAATTAAGGATCTTAGATACAGATATTAGTATTTTATTAAAAATGTCAAAATACACTGAGTACAAGATATAAAGGGATCTTGTATCATATATCTTAGATACAAGTATTTGCAGTACTGCCCAACTCTGTTTATTTCAATCTAAT